TACACCCGGCCCGAGGGCTGCACCGAGGGCAAGGCCTTCATCAGCATCAACCTCATCCTCTGCCTCATCGTCTCCATCGTCTCCATCCTGCCCAAGATCCAGGTGAGGAGTGGGGAGCACCCGGGAGTGGGGCTGTGTCACCCTGGGGGACAGGAACACCCTGAGCACCCAGGAGCCTGGGGCTGTGTCACCCCAGGGTACAGGAGGGCAGGGGCTGTGTCACCCTGGGATTCAGCAGCACCCAGGGGGTGGGGGCTGTGTCACCCCGGGGGACAGGAGCACCCTGAGCACCCAGGAGCCTGGGGCTGTATCACCCTGGGGTACAGGAGGGCAGGGGCTGTGTCACCCCGAGGGACAGGAACACCCAGGGGGCAGGGGCTGTGTCACCCTGGGGTACAGGAGGGCAGGGGCTGTGTCACCCCGAGGGACAGGAACACCCAGGGGGCAGGGGCTGTGTCACTCTGAGGTACAGCAGCACCCCAAGCACCCCGTGCTGTGTTTGCAGGAGGCTCAGCCGCACTCGGGGCTGCTGCAGGCATCGCTGATCACCCTCTACACCTTCTACATCACCTGGGCCGCCCTGGCCAACGTGCCCAGTAAGGACAGCCAGCCTGGCATCGGGACAGGGGGGTGGGCCAGGGACCCTGCACTGGGTGTTTGTCCCCTGTCTCCCCGGGTGGCTGTTTGTCCCGTGTCCCCTGGTGTGTGTTTGTCTCCTGTGTCCCCTGGTGGGTGTTTGCCCCCATGTCCCCGGGTGGGTGTTTGTCCCCTGTTTGTCCCACATGTCCCCAGGCGGGTGTTTGTCCTGTGTCCCCTGGTGTGTGTTTGTCCCCATGTCCCCGGGTGGGTGTTTGTCCCCCGTTTGTCCCCTGTGTCCCCAGGTGTGTTTGTCCCCTGTTTGTCCCCTATGTCCCCGGATGACTGTTTGTTCCCCATGTCCCCAGTGGATGTTTGTCCCATGTCCCCGTGTGGCTATTTGACCCCTGTGTCCCCCGGTGGGTGTTTGTCCCCCATGTGCCCGGGTGGCTGTTTGTCCCTGTCCCCCAGTGGGTGTTTGTCCCCCATGTCCCCACTGCTGACCCCCCCGTGTCCCCCCAGCCCAGCGCTGTAACCCCACGCTGCTGCTGAGGAACGGGACGGGCTCTGCCACGGCCCCCGAGCCACTGACCACCTGGTGGGATGCCCCAAGCATTGTGGGGCTGGTGATCTTCATCCTCTGCACACTCTTCATCAGGTGAGCGCGTGGCTCGTGTCCCTGTCCCTGTGTCTGGGACACCGGGCCATGGGAGGGACAGGAGCTCACACCTTGGTCTGAGGGTTTTGTCACTAAAGGTTCCTTGCCAGGCCATCCCTGTCCCCTGGGGCACAGTGCCTG